TTTGGCTCCTATGCATGTAGATGGGATTTGCAATGTTTCTGTTCCTGGTGCTAGAGAGTCGAACTATTGCAGCTGCTACCGCAAAAACTGTCCTTATTTCCTGGATTTCCCTCACAACATTAGATTCAAATTTACCCTTTTACTTTTACCCGGCGACAATTTCCTCTTAGATTATCCTTTGCAATGACAATTAATAAGGCACAGGGACAAAGTTCCAAAAAGATTTGCCTTTATCTACTAAAACCGGTCTTCATTTACGGACAGTTGTATGTAGCTCTTTCCAGATTTCCATCTATTCACGCAATCACAGTTGCATCCTCAAAACCACCCCGTTTGGACACCTGTGTCTTTCTCGAAGTCTTCACTCATCTATGAGCAATTCTGTGACGTATGCTATGTCGCGTGTCGACTGGTATACATATATGTTTCATAGTTGGAATGTTTTCCTTAATAAAATAATTCTCCTTGTTATAAACCAAAAGGCCGACATCCGTGAATGTTTTATCACAATGGGAATAATTTTTAGCTGAACCTTTATTGCATTGCATACTAAAACATGGTCAGTGATAGAGCATTGAAATAAGTAAGTAACTATGTGAGCCATGTCTTGTATGTAGGAAATAGGGTCAGTAATATACCATTATAATGTTAATAATTAACTATGTGAGCCTTGTCTTGTGTGTAGGATATAGGGTCAGTAATATACCATTATAATGTTAATAATTAACTATGTGAGCCTTGTCTTGTGTGTAGGATATAGGGTCAGTAATATACCATTATAATGTTAATAATTAACTATGTGAGCCTTGTCTTGTGTGTAGCATATAGGGTCAGTAATATACCATTATAATGTTAATAATTAACTATGTGAGCAATGTCTTGTATGTAAGAAATAGGGTCAGTAATATACCATTATAATGTTAATAATGAACTATGTGAGCCTTGTCTTGTGTCTAGGATATAGAGTCAGTAATATACCATTATAATGTTAATAATTAACTATGTGAGCCTTGTCTTGTGTCTAGGATATAGGGTCAGTAATATACCATTATAATGTTAATAATTAACTATGTGAGCCATGTCTTGTATGTAGGAAATAGGGTCAGTAATATACCATTATAATGTTAATAATTAACTATGTGAGCCATGTCTTGTATGTAGGAAATATGGTCAGTAATATACCATTATAATGTTAATAATTAACTATGTGAGCCATGTCTTGTATGTAGGAAATAGGGTCAGTAATATACCATTATAATGTTAATAATTAACTATGTGAGCCTTGTCTTGTGTGTAGGATATAGGGTCAGTACTATACCATTATAATGTTAATAATTAACTATGTGAGCCATGTCTTGTATGTAGGAAATATGGTCAGTAATATACCATTATAATGTTAATAATTAACTATGTGAGCCATGTCTTGTATGTAGGAAATAGGGTCAGTAATATACCATTATAATGTTAATAATTAACTATGTGAGCCTTGTCTTGTGTGTAGGATATAGGGTCAGTATATAGGGTCAGTAATATACCATTATAATGTTAATAATTAACTATGTGAGCCTTGTCTTGTGTGTAGGATATAGGGTCAGTAATATACCATTATAATGTTAATAATTAACTATGTGAGCCTTGTCTTGTGTGTAGGATATAGGGTCAGTAATATACCATTATAATGTTAATAATTAACTATGTGAGCCATGTCTTGTATGTAAGAAATAGGGTCAGTAATATACCATTATAATGTTAATAATTAACTACGTGAGCCTTGTCTTGTGTCTAGGATATAGGGTCAGTAATATACCATTATAATGTTAATAATTAACTATGTGAGCCTTGTCTTGTGTGTAGGATAAAGGGTCAGTAATATACCATTATAATGTTAATAATTAACTATGTGAGCCATGTCTTGTGTGTAGGATAGAGGGTCAGTAATATATCATTATAATGTTAATAATTAACTATGTGAGCAATGTCTTGTATGTAAGAAATAGGGTCAGTAATATGCCATTATAATGTTAATAATTAACTATGTGAGCCTTGTCTTGTGTCTAGGATATAGGGTCAGTAATATACCATTATAATGTTAATAATTAACTATGTGAGCCTTGTCTTGTGTGTAGGATATAGGGTCAGTAATATACCATTATAATGTTAATAATTAACTATGTGAGCCATGTCTTGTGTGTAGGATATAGGGTCAGTAATATATCATTATAATGTTAATAATTAACTATGTGAGCAATGTCTTGTATGTAGGATATAGGGTCAGTAATATACCATTATAATGTTAATAATTAACTATGTGAGCCATGTCTTGTGTTTAGGATATAGGGTCAGTAATATACCATTATAAAGTTAATAATTAACTATGTGAGCCATGTCTTGTGTGTAGGAAATAGGGTCAGTAATAGACCATTATAAAGTTAATCATTAACTACGGTACGTGAGATATGTCTGGTAGATGGGGAATACGGTCAGTGATCAATCATTAAAGTTTGCACTAACTTATCGAGCTGTTCTTATTGTTTTGTGTGTGTTTTTAAACTAAGCATAGACATATGAACGTAATAATAAATTATTGATGTTATTTTGTCACACAGTTGCATGGTCTTTGGGAAATGTGTTACCAGGATTGACGTTTTTCATTGTGTACAATAAAGAGATAAATAATGTGTAATATTTCTCATTAATCAACATAGATTATTTCGCTCTTTCGTCCCATTTAGTCTAAGTTATGTTAAAATGGTGTCTGCAACACCATCGGATGATTTAGAGTCGTGGTGTAAGACGGTGCGGGAATATTCAGAAAATTAGGTTTGAAAGCTTTTTTTAAACCATTTTGTTGTTGGCTATGTTTGCAAGAAATATCTTATGAGATCAATTCGGAGTCTTTAGGAAGTGTTTGGAAATCAAAATATGGCATGACACTGCACCACGTTTAAGAATCCTTGCCTAGATGACCAAGTCACAGCAAATTGATCTTTTTAATCGACCTTACTAGGCCCAACAATATTACTACCTCACCAACCTCAAACATACCACAACGTCACCTACAATGTCTCTTAAAGTGTCCACATTGTTTTCAGCCAATTCATTATCATCGTAAGTCTGACAACACATTTTACTAACTACACAATATTGTGCGTGGTTGTTTCTATACAAGTGTATGACGTCATGTTGCAGTCATTAGAGTTAATGAGATAACACAACCACGCCTAATCGTTCATACATTTTTAACAAACTGTTTGGACGAAATGTCAGTAGCGTCTATGTATTTGAATGTCTTTGATAATGTCAGACGCGTAGAACTACATGGCTGTCTGGTGACTTTTATATACATTAAATTATTCAATTGCTGGTTTGGATCGTTGGATCAGCTGATATTTTGTATCCAAACTTGTACAGCTCTTTCATCAGTTCGTTCATCTGATGATAGTTTTAATCTACACATGTTACGTTCTCTGGTTATAATAAGTTCGTTGTATAAGTTAAAACTATCAAATTAATTCAGTCCAGTTATCTTGTACAAACCTGATCCTCAAAGAAAATCAAAGTATTAAACGTTTCAGTACACGTGTAAAATATTTTATTATATCATCATAATAGTCAAAAGATTAGGTCCAACGTACTATAATATCATCCTAAAAGTCAAACGATTTTGTCAAATGTTCTATTGTATTATCTTAATAGTAAAAAGATTGTGTCCGATATTCTATTATCTCATCCTAATTGCAGAAGATTTTGTTTTATCTTCAAATTAAAATTTAAAAAAAAAATGAAAATTAACATACATAATAAATTATTGCTTTGGTAAATAAACAAGAAAAAAAACATCTAAACGTTGTTTATCTGTAAAAATTAAAAGTTACAATTTATTCAATATAAGTTTGCTAACAACGAGTTAGTTTCATTTATGAAAAATACTTCTGAGTTACTAAATACACATTTGTACTCTTCAACAATGAAATTGTTACAAGTCGTAATACATTTACATTTATCATATCTGAAATTTGGGAGACGAGTACACAAACACACAACACGGTTTGTCTGCACTATTTTTCACATGCTAATTGAAACCAACAAAAATATTGCGTGTCCCTTATATATATCAATTGCATTGGCCGGTAAATACTGCTCCACCGCATTCGTGTGTGGGAAATGTAACAGAGACTTCCATTCGAGGATTGGTCTCACCAGCCACACCAATAGCTGCAAGCAATAAAGATAATCTATCGTCTCCCGAAGACGGAAAGATGTCATCCCGGTGCTCTCGTCGGCATGTCCGTCCCATTAATGGCATGTCGATAAAGAGGCGTTTGCCACGAACCCCCTGAAACGTTACCCGGGGGACAGTATCACCGTGTAGGGGACCTGCGCTGAAAGGCAAAGGTAACGCACGGAGACTGCGTCAGAACGAGCACGATTGCACGCGCAAGTGCAGTCGAAATATATTATTAAACGCAGAAACAGGTTGGGACATGATTACAGTTGCCGTATGGATATGAGGTGAAGGCGTATGGCAACCTTTCACCGATGATTCTAACTATGCAGTCTTGAGGGCACTGCTAACAACCTCTCTCTCCCATCTACGGTGTGAATTAGTCACGCCGCAGAATAACCATACAAACCCTACTATAGGGCGTCGGTCTAAACAATTACACGGTCCCCCCCCCCCTGGGGTGGTAAGGGGGGGGACTTTAGAGACGTTAAAAATATCCACCCTAAACCCCTAGAAAGCCCGGCCCGGTTGCTCACGGCAACCCGGCTGGCCAGGTGTTTCTTCTCTGGGGCTGCCATACATAGCGGCCAATCGAGTGGAAGTCGGGTGTGGCGGTCTTAGGGACGGAACGTCCCTGGCGTGCCGCTTCGCGGCCCGATCGGAATAAAGACCACTAGGGGAGTGATTGATGGCCGGTTTGGTTGGCGCGGTGGTGCGTTGTGGGAGACCATATGAGCCACGGCTCAGTGTTCGCTGATTTTCTTAAGTAAGTTAGTTAGACGGAAAGGTCTAATAAGAACACAAGGACTGTGTTAAACAGAAACAAAACATTGTAAAACGGAAGTACGATGGCGTTTAAAAGTACCAGATTAATATTTAACAGAAACAGAAAAGTGTTAAACAAGACTATGCCAGTGTAAAACAGAATCAGAACAGTGTTAAACAGAACCATGACAGTAATACACAGAAACAGAATTGTGTTGTACAGACGCTGGACAATGTTAGCAGAACCAGGACAGTGATAGAGAGTAATAGGACGGTATCAAACAAAAACATAAAAGTATTAAATATTATCAGGACCGTGTTGAACAAGACTAAGACAGTTTTAAAAAGAATCAACTTTGTGTAACAAAGAACCAGGACAATGATAAACAGAACCAGAATAGTTTTAGGCAGAAACATGATTGTTTTAAAACATATTTAGGACACTCTTAACAGGAACAGGACAGTGTTAGAAAGAACCAGGACATATTTAAACAGAACAAGGACAAAGTTAAACATTAACAGGACTGTGAAAAACCGAAACAGGACAGTGTTAACCTGAAACAGGTCAGTGCTAATAAAAAAAATGCAGTGTTTAATAGAAACAGGACATTGTTAAACAGGACCAGGTTAGTATTATACAGAACTAGAAATGTGTTAAATGGGAACTGGGAATTGTTAAATAGATCAGGAACAGTAATAACAGAATCAAGACAGTGTTAAAAAGACTAGGACATGGTTAAACAGTACCACGGCAGTGCTAATATGAACAAGGCAGAGTCAAAAAGAACCAGGACAGTGTTAAACCGAACCAGGGCAGTGCTAACATGACCAGGACAGCGTTTAAAGAACAAGGGAAGTGATGAACAGAACCAGGGCCGTATTTGTTTACACTTTTAGCTTCTGATTTTAACATTTTTCAGATCGTTGTGATCGTCATAGTCCAAAGTGTTGGAAAATACATTGTAAAGATGGTATGACAAGATGATCAATAACTGTTATTAAAGTTTAGACTATTCTTGTAATAGAATTTGTGTTTAGATTTAATGAGGTTATGACTTTTGAACCCATTGGCGATGTCAATGAGAGAGAGAGTTAATCATACAGGATCGTAAGTATTAACACTTGACATAATCAAGCTCGATATATCAACATGCCACATATCCAAGCTTGACATCTCAACGCTCCACATATCCAAGCTTGACATATCCACACTCCACATATCCGAACTGGATATATCTAAACTTGACAAATCCAGGCTTGATATATCTCATAATTTAATTTCATATACTGTTCAATGACTTAAATCGATACCCAAAAAATTACCAAAGAAACATATTAATTGAGGTATTTTAAAAATAAATTAATTATGATATGCCCCCCACAAATGTTTTAGAACTCATAAAGTATTAACAATGTATTATACACAGGGGGCAAAAAATCCTTGTTGCGGAAATTGTGAAAATATTTGTCTTATCAATAAACATCTTTATTGTGATTACCACAACACATTTTTGTGATTATTATTTATGTTCACATAATAAATGATAACTCTGATTTGTAAGTTTTTATTTCATGTAACACGTGATTAGCTAACATTTTCATTGAGTCTATAGCATACTTATCTCTGAGTACATAATGATACCAATTAGTTGGTAGTTGTTGTTATTTTCTTTTAGAGACATGAGTAGCCAACATTTTCATTGAGTCTATAGCATACTTATCTATAAATACATAATGATACCAATGAGTTGGTAGTTGTTGTTATTTTCTTTTAGAGACATGAGTAGCCAACATTTTCATTGAATTTATGGCACACCTCCTTTAATACTCCAGAAAGATACTAACGAGTTGTTAATTGTTATTTTGTTTAAGATAAAAGTAGCTAACATTTCATTGTGTGTATGTGATACATATGTATGACCATATACTTATGTTACTGAGTTGTTATTTGTTATGTTATGTGTCACTTAATTATGTAACCTTTTCAAAGAGTCTATGGCATACCTCAAGTATGACAAAATATTTCTTTTTCTAAATTGATATAAATTTAATAAATACTTGTTGCATATTAAGAAAAAAATCAATTAGGTTGTTTGATGACTAAATTAAGTCATACACAATCAGAAGGAAAGAGAGAATCATATGAAGAACAAACTTTCTATTAAATACACTCAAGAATGCAGTTTTTGCTTTTAAAGCCTTTTCATTTACAATGACGTCATTGACATTGTATCTAAATGAAGATGTGAGCCTATAAGAAAATAGTGTGTAAATATTTTTTATGTCCAATATAGTACATAGTGTTCTAAATTGTGTGATGTACACCATAGTAAACATTGGTCTATAATGTTTGATGTCCACTATAATACAGATTGGTCTATACTTTGTGATAGCCACTATGGTGAACATTGGTCTATACTGTTTTATGTCCACTTTAATGCAGCTTGGTCTATACTTTGTGATGTCAAATATAATGCAGATGGGTCTAAATATTTTGATGTCCACTATGGTAGAGATTGATCTATACTTTGTGATGTCCATTATGATGAACATTGGTCTATAATGTGTGATGTCCACTACAAAACATATTGTTGTATAATTGCAAATTTTGTGTCAATAATAACATTTTTCTGACAATGGTAACATGTTGGTACTTTTCTATATATTGATGTATGCTGCACATTGCAAATGAAAGATGTCTATATATCATATCATATATATATTGATGTATGCTGCACATTGCCAATGAAAGATGTCTAAATATCATATCATAAATATTGATGTATGCTGCACATTGCCAATGAAAGATGTCTAAATATCATATCATATATACTGATGTATGCTGCACATTTTCAGTAAAAGATGTATATATATATCATATCATATATATTGATGTATGCTGCACATTGTCAGTAAAAGATGTATATATATATCATATCATATATATTGATGTATGCTGCACATTAGCAATAAAAGTAAAACAGCCGTCTTTAAGAAAACTTAGATTTTGTATCAATACTTTACCTCAGAAAGTGATTAAATGTGTTGAAAAATCTGTTTGTATCAATTAAATAACTTTATCTTTCTATGCATTCTTAAATAGCATGTTACTAGATGTGTTATTAAATGTCTTCGTATTATGTAAAGAACTCTACGTGTATGTTTTTTCGTGAAACAAACTGTATTACGTTATTTGAAGTAGTCTACTTCAGCTAGTCCCAATAAAGGTCATTTTAAAGCAGATAAACTGTTCCCATAATAAAGAAGTCAAGTCATTATTTTATCAGGAAGTATACCATTTCATTTAAGTATTTTTGTTCAATAAATTGTCGCTTTTTTCCAACAAAATATCTGATACAGCAATTCTTAAGATCCATACCAAAAGAATTATCATTTATGATATTATAAGACTAAATGATAAATATATGTAAAATTAAATTAAATTTTTAACCAAATATTTTCAAATACGTTCAAATGTTATATAATTTTTAACATAATTTAAGAATTTAAATGGAAAAAAAATATTTCAATACATATTTATTTATGTTTAGCATATCACTATATTAAGACATTCATAAGATAGCACATCCATATATTAACACATCTAAATATTAACACATAAATACATTAACACATTCTTAAATATATATAAGTATTTAAAAGCAACACAGAAACAATACACACATTTTCATTTAAGCCTTGAACTTGACTCACTACAATGAAAAATGAAGATTCAATGTCCTTTAATGATCATGCATGTTATTTTAAATCAAGATCGTACAGTTAGTTCAATTTATTTAAATGATTATTATTAAATATATACATGCGACTGTTCATTTAGATAATCTGCAGTTTGGATTTAAAAGACAAAAACAAAAAGGGAAACATGATTAAATGTTTCCATTAAGGGATTTGAGACATGAGGTGAGTATTGGTGTCCTCTAGCCGATAATTCTAATTACACAGCAATTGTTGAATGGGATCCTGGACAACCTTAGTGTCCAAGCGGCTTGTGGCGAAGTAGAAATCCCGTTATGGTAGAGGGCAGATTTCATAACATAAATATACTATCTCTACTGGTAAGTCGACTGGTGACCCTACAAGAGCTTTGTCACCGGCTGACCGGATGTTCTTGAGCTTGTATCTCCTCTGTGGGTACCTGATCGAGTGGGTACTGGCGTTGGCTGTCCTGGCGAAGGCATATCTCACGTTTCGATTCTTTACTTGGTAATGGGGCTTAAGTGGGATGCTTTGGGGAGGGCATGACTTCTGTGGGATGCTTTCGATAGGGCATGGCTTATAGGGTGCTTATTTCGAGGGCATGGCTTATATGGGGTGCGAAGGCAACATGTCTTATGTGGCGAGGGGGGGGGGAGCATTGGGAAAGGCATAAACAGATTGTTACTTGCTGGAAGGATAGCTAATGCCATTTCCTAAATACATTTACATTTATAAAAAGTTCATTCAATGAAAACAAGGATAACATTTAATTTAGATTATACAATTAAATCAATTACATTATATTATAATACATATCCTATACAAATGAGATTGCACAATAAGAACAAATTATTTTATGTCAATACACATAATATATAAATGAGATGATTCAGTAAGAACAATTTAATTCAATATTAATACATAGAATATGTAAATGTGATGACACAGTTAACATTATTTTATAACTATCAATAGATTTAATGATACATGTATTCAATGATAATACAATAATGGGTAAATGAGATTGTTCAAATAGAACAAGTTAATTATATGATAAAAAATATAATTGAGGTTAATCAGTTAGAACCTTTTGAATTCAATGATAATACATAGAATAAGTAAATGAGAGGATACAGTTCACATTTCATTTACATATAACATATTCATAAAATGGTTTTAATTCATAAGGAGTGTTAAAAATGAATATCTTTATTAAACAAGGAAAGATTAAATAATCCACTAAATGTTCAATGATTTTTTTCTTGTTATAAACAAGCAGGATGAAGGTATGAGGATTACTTCTACTAAATTCACAACGAATTTATTTTGTTTAAATCTGAAAAAAACCCACTTATATATTTTCATCTTGAAACACTTGAGAATAGTTGTATTAAAATAACATTAAAAAAAATGTCAAATATAAACAGAGAAGTAAATATATTAAACTTTGAATGGAAAACTATTTTATATGACGAAAATATGATCCCGTTTGAGCTAAAATGACATTAAACAGTGTGATAAACACAGCTAAAGCCTATTTAAATGCTTTGTTGTTGTACTGATGAAGCAATGTGCCGAACAGTTTATTTGTGAAGTATATAGAACTATTTTTAACGCTTAACATATATTGTTATATTGAAATAAATTGTTCGTGTCTAATTAATCTTTTTTAAACATTCGCCATTCATATAGTTTAACATGTACCGAAAATGCAC